AGTAATAGTGCAGTAATAGTGCAGTAATGATGCAGTAATGATGCAGTAATAGTGCAGTAATAGTGCAGTAATAGTGCAGTAATGATGCAGTAATGATGCAGTAATGATGCAGTAATGATGCAGTAATAGTGCAGTAATAGTGCAGTAATAGTGCAGTAATGATGCAGTAATGATGCAGTAATGATGCAGTAATAGTGCAGTAATAGTGCAGTAATGGTGCAGTAATGATGCAGTAATAGTGCAGTAATAGTGCAGTAATGATGCAGTAATAGTGCAGTAATAGTGCAGTAATAGTGCAGTAATAGTGCAGTAATGATGCAGTAATGATGCTGTAATAGTGCAGTAATAATGCTGTAATGATGCTGTAATGATGCAGTAATGATGCTGTAATAGTGCAGTAATGATGCAGTAATAGTGCAGTAATGCAGTAAAAAATGCATTTTTTGTCGGGGTCCTGTCGGGGTCCTGATCGGCCTGTCGGAGTCCTGATCGGCCTGTCGGAGTCCTGATCGGCCTGTCGGGTCCTGATCGGCCTGTCGGGGTCCTGATCGGCCTGTCGGGGTCCTGATCGTCCTGATCGGCCTGTCGAGGTCCTGATCGGCCTGTCGGAGTCCTGATCGGCCTGTCGGGGTCCTGATCGGCCTGTCGGGGTCCTGATCGGCCTGTCGGGGTCCTGATCGTCCTGATCGGCCTGTCGAGGTCCTGATCGGCCTGTCGGAGTCCTGATCGGCCTGTCGGGGGTCCTGATCGGCCTGTCGGGGTCCTGATCGGCCTGTTGGGGTCCTGATCGTCCTGATCGGCCTGTCGAGGTCCTGATCGGCCTGTCGGAGTCCTGATCGGCCTGTCGGAGTCCTGATCGGCCTGTCAAGGTTCTTATCTGTCTGTAGGCGTCCTGATCGGTCTGTCGGTGTCCTGATCAGCCTGCTGGGGTTCTGATCAGCCCGCCAGCGTCCTGATCGGCCCGTCTGCCTCCTGATCGGCCTGTCGGAGTCCTGATCGGCATATCAGCGTCCTGATTCAGCCTGTCGGTACAGACTGATCAGGACCCCGACAGGCCGTTCAGGACCCCGACTGGCCGATCAGGACCCTGACAGGGTGATCAGGACACCAAAGGACTGATCGTGTCCTGATCGGCCTGTCTGCGTCCTAATAAACCTGTCGTGGTTCTACTTTATCCCTTACATATATGTTAATTTCCATAAAGTTATATTAATTTAATGTTTATGACAGTTTGATTAGGTTGTACTTTTTTTAAATATCTTTTTATTCATTTTTATTTTAGTTTTAGCTATTTAAGTACACAAATATTTTATTTAGCTTTCTGTTAACATTTGTTGTATTTCATTCCAAAAAAATGTTTTTAATGGTTCTAGTTCTCTATAGTCACTCCACACTGTTTCTTCTCACACTGTCCACTATATTTATGTAGTGAACGCCAGGTGTGTTCAGCTCTAGATTATTTAGTTAACGTCAGGTGTGTGTTCAACTTCAGATAAGGACCAGCTCTTGCAGAAGTCGTGAGGAGAAAGTTGTAAAGGATAGATCGGCACACACATGTAACTGGCTCAGGATCATGTGTGTGTGTGTGTGTGTGTGCATCAATTATGCATGAAGCTTCAGATGCGCGTGCATTAGCATTAGCATTAGCATAACTGATGGTGCTTTTCCTCCGCGTCCTTGACCAGCGCCACTGAGTCTGACTGTTCGTCAATAACAGGTCATTTACCCAGAGCCAGAAACAACATCTTCCAGGTCACCTCCACTGCCACACACACCTCCACTGCCACACACACGAGACCGCATTAGCATGCAGGACAGCATCTGCTCCTTTCCTCCAGAAATAAATCTTTTGGGAAGCGCCTCGCTCCAGCCTTAAAGTTGCCTTTTCCTGAAACACTTTGTCGGTTGCTGCGAGTTAAATGAAACGTGGTGCCATAGTTTGACCCCTATGAATATTAATAAGCCTCTATTAAAAATGCATGTGGCGTTGTAGTTGTTGATCAGATTTTGGATGCCCATGCAAATTGGCCTGTCTTCCCTGTCAGCGGCGCGGATGAATAATGTAGGTGTGTTGTATATTCAGGGACACACCATTGACAGTCAATTAACAGGTTTGATTGGTGTGTGAACTCATTCTTTTGAACTGTTAATTTTATGTAAATAGTATTCCCCGGATCGCGAGTTACCTGCGCCAGGCTCTTAATAATTGATCACGCCGCACCTGTTTTTTATTTTTAAATATTATAATAGCCGAGAGGTCTTGCTTTTGATATTCAAATCCACAAACATGAAGCCGAAAGTGCTTGTTTTCCGAACGCTCTCTGTACGTCGGACTCCATGCCGGATCGTGTGGGAAAGCTCTGATGGCTCTTGATGGCTCATAACGGGAACGCCAATCCCGATTTGGGAATGCCGTAGATTTGGGAATCGCGCTCCCAGGTAAATGATACGCTGATTGATCCCGCTTTCATTCTTTGGTTCTCCTCGTCCTGGTAATTTGCAGCGGTCCGGGCGGATGCGGAGATTCATCACAGTTGACAGGTGAAGCCGGCAGCGGGAATCTCCAGAAACACATATGATTATGGAAATGAATGTGACTCTTCGCTCCCCGCAGCAACGCGCTTCTTGTTGATCTGCCTTCGCAAGCACGTCTGAGAGGAAAGATCATCGTACACGCTTTCCAAGAAACGTCCTGAGAATGCATATGTGCATGCACAACATAAAAAAATCACAACTTGAAAAATAAAATGAATATTAGCCAAAATCAATCACGTTATTAAAAACTGTAACAAGGTTTCATTTGCTATCAACATGAACTCATCATGATGCTGTGATTTATTTATTTTATTTATGTTCAGGTTTATTTAACATGCACACTAATGATACATGATTAAATGTACAGTGTGCCACAATTAGCCAGTAGGCTATTTTACATCGGCTGTCCCTGGACAGATCTTAATGTCACACCTAAAACAATAAAAAAAAACATAAAAACAATATAGCTAGGACAATAACTAATGTCAAAGGTTTCCCCTATCTAAACACAAGAGAAAACAATGAGCCAGCCAACCGCATTGGCATAGCACAGGAGGCACAAACAAGCAAACAGACTAATAAAAATAAAAAATAAAAAGGCAGGACAAGAAACACAGTGCATAATGTAAACAGTCCTGACTATCTATTAACCATTTCTTTAAGTTATGTAGTTATGATAACGCTTGATAACAATGATAATACCTCTACAGCTTTTATTAATTCCAGCATTTACTACATTGCAATGCATTAACTAACATTAGCTGATGACATGATTAGCTAATTTGTATTTACTAGTTGAATTAGCCATTTTCCTTGATGTATTAAAATATCTAGAACTAAAACAAACAAATATGACAAATTATTATAAAAGATGGAGAATATGAGAAAATAAACGATATGATCCCAAACTAACACTCAGTCTGACTACAAATATCAAAATCAAATGTCGACTGGTCCTTTTGGATCGAACGCATTAATGTGTCCATGCAATCAAATTGGTTCTTTCTCTTTCTTCCCATCAAACACCTGAAATGTGTGTGTAGAGCTGGTCTGACCTCTCGATCGCCACGTCTCTGACCAGCTCCTGTATTTTTAGCTGCAGATTCTCAGCTAATTATCACCTGGTTATTAGAGATTGCGCGAGCTTTCATCGCGGGTGTGAAACGGGAACTCTGGGTGATAAAATAACAGTGAAGGTGTGGAGCGTTAATTGATGCTCTGCTGTTCAAACACTCATGCTATAATAATGTTAATGAGTTGCACCTCTTTTGATGCAAGCGTCTGGCGTTTGGCTGTGATTTATGGACTGATGCGAAACTTGTTCATGTTTGGTCAATGGTTAGTGTTTCGAGCTTCAGAAAGGCAAACTAAATCAAGCTTTATTTCTACAGCATGTCATCCAGTACAGACTGTGAATGACGCAAACTTCATCAAATACGAGACTCATGCAGAAGACAATAGTGTCATTAATCAGATCAAGTTCTGTTCTCATCTATAGTGTCAGTGCAGTCAATATTACTATTCATTAGATGCATAAAATATTAAGTGCATTTATTTATTTATTTTTTACTGAACATTACCATGTGCAAATTCTTTATTTTATATTTTTTATGGCTTTTGCTAATTTTGCAAGCCTGTATATCTGAATACAGATACAATTAACCCCTTAACGTCTGAATTTATATAGCTGTATATAAAAAAATATTTTATGTGTGTTTTTGCCTTTAAGTAGATGGTAAATAATGTTGAGATTATCAATTTTACTTTTGCACAACAAATAAATAGAAATTTTGGTATGTTGCAAATCTGCAACAGCGGGCATAATCGTCAATTTGGTATGTTGCAAATGTTCCTGACCGGAGAAATCCTCGTGCGTAAACAAGAAATAAGTCCGTCACTTCGAAACAAGTGCTTGTCGAAGGTCCTTAGGTCCGTAGTGAATATGCACAAACCGGCATTGGGGGAATGCAGACGTTATCTCGGCTGGTTGACTGAGTCAAATGGTTTGTTGCATATTTGCGACAGTGGGCGTTAAGGGGTTAAAAACTTAATTTTATGTGATTTTTTTTTTTTACAATAAACATTACATATGCAGACATTTTAAACAAAGTAAACGGTGTAAGCCGTATAAAAAAAATGGTTGCCACTGTATTTGTATGAAACGAGTCCACGATATTGGATGGCAAAATTAAATAACTGTACAGAAAATAGTTTTGATATATATTTTATTAGCTCACCAAACGCAAAACTTCCATGAAGAAAAAATGTTCCTAATAAGCGTATAGTGCTGTAGACCAGATGTGCCTGTGTTTCTGTTATCTGGGAATATCACACTGTTGGAAGGCACGATTGACCAATCAGAATCAAGTATTCCCCAGAGCTGTGTAATAATAATTTATATCGTATGTATTTATGAATGAATTAATTTATATGTAAATATATGTGTCTTTCGTGCTGTGTGTCAGGTGCGTGAGGCTGTGTTCTGCGCGGGACAGGTCGCTCTGACCCCCTGCTCTATGCAGATGCTGGACGGGCCGCCAGCGCTCCAGGCCCGGCTCTGCTTCAGTCACACGGAGAAGGTTCTGTGTGCCGTCAGCGCCGGACTCACGCTGGCTCACGCTCTGCAGGCGCACGTCTACCTCACACACCCC